CAACAGGTTTTACATTCGTATATCTGTCAGCCGATGTTTGCCAATATACAAGAAATAAGCTTGTTCTTGTCTCTTTCAACTTGATATCTCCTTTAGTAGCACGTAATTTGACATTTTCCCCAAAACAGCTTATCCAATCGTCTCTTAATTTAAAAAGCACAAAATAGTACTGACGCCAATAATTTTCTTGCTTCAGTTTATGTCTTGGTGATTTAGCAAATCGATTTTCAATTAAAGCTTTGCCAATTTCAAAAACATTAATTTTCATTATTAAAATTGTAAAAAAAAAAGCTACTGCAGTTGTAAAAGTCACAAATTAAACCTACTGATAAAGTATTTCAGAATTTTTTATAAGCCAAAAGCTAATTTTCGAACTTATTAAACTTTCAGATAAAATACCATTCCGTAAATGTATAATATAAATCTTTCAAATTTATGCAAATAACATCCATTAAAATATAATTGTGAGTGTAATATATTTTCAAGTAAATTGCAAAGTCAACTCTTGCCAGATTATAAACAAAATAAATCGATAAATATTTAGCGCTCAGCGCTAAAGTATTTAACTTTGCTTTCTATAATTTTCAAGAACGCTATTTACAAAAATGATTGTTCATTTTATCAACTGCTAAACTACGTTTTAGTAATCTATAGAAAAAAAAAAAAAAAACGTTTTTAATCGCATCTTAATATGTGTGCATTCCATTCATCTTAATTATGTTTGTATTTGTGTCAATTATTTCAAGACAAAAAAGGGATTTTTTTTTTGTATTAAAAGTTATATGTCCTAAATTAAACCATTCTGTTTTACTAAAATAACAATTCTTTGTTTTTAGTATTAAACCACTAATTTTTAAAGAATGTTCGTGCAGTTTTTGTTGATGGTTTGAAATTTTTATTTTATCAGCTGCTAATCTAATTATCTGAGGGAATATATATGAAAACAAATGTAAAAAAAACAACCCTTTTTAGATTTCCATTACCAGTATATTAGAAAACACTTTATTTAAATTATATTATATTTATATTTATAATTTCATAATCATCATCATTACTATTATTTTTCTGCAATTTTTCTGCACAGACTTATTTGAAGCAAATATTAATGATCGCAGCTTAAATTGTATTATTAAACATTACTTTTGTAAATGAACTTGGTTCGGTTGTTCATTCGTCTACAGAACTAATACAATTTTTCAGGAAACTCTGATTTATATATAATAGGCATACAAGCGAGTGTAGTGGTTTTTGCAGAGAGACTTTAAGTCTTATTATGATTCCCCTATTCTTTCCATTATAAACACTAGTTCCATTGCAAACGCCTCAACAGAGTCTGTAGAATCAGTACCAGCGATAAAAGAAAAGATATCATTAGCGTTACCACTTCCTGGTGAAACATGCCCAGGGGGCACAGAAAGTTTGTTGGATATTTTACAGACGTCGTACAAAATTGCAGCATCTATAAGATGTTGTATAGACGTCTTACGGATGTCTGGGTGGTCTATATAGAAATTTTGAGAAAAAAAAAATAAAACGTAATGCTCTTTAGGAAAAAGTCAGCGAGTCCTCTATACTTAGAGAGAAAACAGATATAACACAAATGCTAACAGAAAATAAGTGTCAATAGACTATAATGAAAGTATAAACACTTATTTATCGTATTAAAAATAAAAAACAACTGTAGTGTACTCTAATAAAACGCAAAACATAAAAGAAAAAATGTTGGAAAACAGACATGTTTTAAAAATTGCAGAGTATCCCCTAAACATAAATTTTTTGTGTGACTAATTCTACAGATTTATGCGATTACTTTTTAGATTCAGAGTTGTAGGTAGCCATGTTCATTCAAAATCATTTGAGCAGAATCGTTTTGGCGTAAATGGATTAGTTTTTGAAGCTTCCAAACACTTTAGGTGTTTGGAATCTTCGAAAAATCAATCCATTTACGTTAAATAAAAAAAATACTTTAAAAAAAATTTATTTCGACCGAAGTCTTTTTATTGAAATCAAAAACAAAACGTATTATACTTTACTTAAAATAGATGAAAAAAAGTCCATTATGTCAACACCAAATGTAAGACTTCTTCTCTCATTTGATGTGAAAAGGAATCTTTTATTTGAGGATTCGGAAATAAAACATGTAAAAAAAAGGTAGCTTTATTGGAAAGTATTATTTTGCTATTGTTATGATTGCTGTAATATAATTTGTAAAGGAGCATCGATAGCAATGGAGGTTATAATATAAGAATTTATGAAGAGTGATGTTAGTGAGAATATTGCTGTGATGTTATTGAAAATATTGTAATGATGTTAGTGAGAATATTTCCACTTGATGATCGCTCATTCATAGCTGATTCTCATTTAATACTAATGGCTCATTTACTTTTTTAGTTTTTTGATAGTGCACATTCTATGAAGTTATCTGTTGATATTCTATGAAGTTATCTGTTGATATTCTATGAAGTTATCTGTTGATATTCTATGAAGTTTTTCTGTTTTTATAGATAGTAGATAATCAAGATCAGATAATAACTTCGAAATAAAAGAAATCGATGCCGGTTATTTAAATCCACTTTGATCTATTTTATAGCGCATAGCTTTTGAAAATGCCCTCAATATAAAACCATCAACACCATAATCTGTAATTTTAGTTTCAGGGTTTATCCGCATCCATTTTGCTTTCGCTTCTTTGAGTAGCTTGTGGAAGAAAAAAAATCTCCATTCATCCAGCTATTGCTGCCAATCACAATACTATCCGTGGGTACCCCTATAATAAGACTTCTATTTTTATATAATAAGACTTCTATTTTTATCCACTATTAACAAGTAAACTAAAGAATGGAGGTATAAAATGTCCAATTCATTGAAATATTTATGGAAATAGTTAATGTTACATCTATGCCTTGTTCTTAAAATATTAATCTACTTGTTTTTTTTTTCCATTTACAGACAATACTTTGTGGTTTTTTTGATGACATTTAATACTAGTTTCATCACCATTATATATGCTAGAAGATTATGTTATTCAATCAATATTTATTTTTTAATAACTATAAATTTAGTCCAGCTAAAAGCAACTGCTTTCGTGAGACATTTATATTGGGTTGTTCTTAAAAATAATTTTGGGTGTCGGCTTTTAAACTTTATAAAGATATCTTTATTTGCAATCCTTTTCTCTTTATTGAACCGATACTTATTTTGAACTCTTTCGCCTCAAAAGTTCATACCAAGAATGCTCTAAAAATTGATAATCCAAATCTTTTACATGTTTAACAAAGTTGGTTTCAAACTTATCGTTAAATATATATATATATATATATATATATATATATATATATATATATATATATATATATATATATATATATATATATATATATATATATATATATATATATATTAATTAATTAATTATTATGAATGCATGAAATAAATTCTCCGAAGAAAAAATAAATAATAGTAATTTTAATGATAAATATATAAAATTTAAAGTGAGTTTAAATATGACTGAAATTGATCTGAAGAGATTAAACTATTGTCTTTAGATTAAATGATTTAAACACGATCGAAGAGCGTGAACGTGAGCGTGACCCTGACAAAACTATTTTTTATAGCTCATCCCTAATAAATATTCGGAAGCAAGGTATTTGTTTTCAAATGAATAAATCAAAATTTATTGGATATTAAACCTTTTGAGAACTTACTCTTCTTCATTTTAACATAAGAAGCGCTAAAACAAACTTCGAAATTTTAAAATATTTTTTGGGGGAAAACAATTTTTTTTTCAATATAATTTGTTGAAGCAAAATCTGGGTAACAGACGATGCCTTTAACGATAGGTACCGGTTTGACTAACCAAAATGTGACGCAAATCACTTACAAAGAAAGTCTAAAAAAAAAAGGCAGTAGTGTTATTATTTACGTCAATAATAGCTTACGGTTTAAAATGCGAAAGGACTTGTGCGAATGTGAATGTAATAAAGAATTTGTATCAATTAAAATAATTAATCAAGAGTTTAAAAATATTCTAGTAACACGTTGCTAATACACCTAAATATGTCAACAGAAAAATTCTCAATTCCCCTCCAGAATATTATTTTAAAAAGTTAGATAAAAAGAGGTTGTTTGTTTTAGCAGATTTTAATATTAACGCGCTAAATAGTGAGAAGCCGTGGCTCAGTGGTTAGAGTTTTGGCTCAGAACAAAGAGGTTCCAGGTTCAACGCCAGGTTTAGCCCAACAAGTGCGATTGGTACGGAAGGAGGCGTAAATTTCTTGTTAAATGCTCTCTCGCGGTGCTCTATGATAAGACCATAAGGACTTCTGGAAGCACCTAAAATAACTACAAAAAGAAAAAAAAAAAAAAAAAAAAAATGATGTAGAAACTTGAAGCTTTTACAAAAATTATTTAGATATGGTGTGATTCATTTAATAAACAGACCAACACAAATAACAAGAAATTTAGTAACATTAATAGAGAGTATATTAACTAATACTATATTTGAAGCCTCGCTAAAATATTCAGTGATTATATATTCTCGGTATATATTTATTTAAGGGGGCACAACCCTATTAAAAAAGTGTAAATTACTGAAAAAATTAATTTTTCAAAAATACACTTATTTTAACTCAAATTTATCGTAGAAACTATTGCTGATTTTTAAATTTTTTCTATCCATGCTGATATTGGTCAAAATTTCATTTATTTAGATGTTCATTATTTAAATTACCCTAGCAACGCGCATAGCAACCGTTTTTAAATGTTGTTTTTCATCTTTTTAAGCCCTTTTTTCAAAGTTGATCTTGGCTTTTTGTTTGTACAACGACGTAATAAGCATAATGGAGTTATTTAACTAATTAAACTACTGATTTGACAGACTGGTCTTGTTAGAATGTTTGTTTATGTTTTACAAAATTGGTTTTTATATATTTTTTTATTTTTCAGTATTATAACAAGGTAGTATGCTTTATAAGATAATTTCTATGCTGTTTTGCTAAGCATTTTTATCTATCTATGCTATTTATAAGCTTTCTATCTATTGCTTTGTATATTTATGTAACTAGTATAACTAAAAAGTTGAAAAATATTTACAAATTGAAATGGAATCATCTTGTAAGTTTCGATCTAAAAGACATAAAAGTAGGAAGTTTTATGGCAACAAACTCTCTAACAATTTTACTGAAAACTCTAAAGTTACAAATAAAGAAAACATAGCAACAACAGTTTCTTATACAAAGTTAAATGGTTCAATGGTTAAAGTTGTTGATAACTGCTGTTCAAAAAACATTACAGGCAACCGAATAGTTGATATGGAATTGTTAGCTGAAACTTTTAAGATTCTTTTGTGCCCAGAGTGTTCACATAATTCAGTAAAGCTTAATCAAAAGCAGAAATTAGGAATTGCTTTCGAGTCTTTCAATGCAACAATATGGAATCGTGTTCTAAAAGATGCATTTGTAAAACTAGTACAGTTGGAAATTGCTGCTTATGATGCAGTTGCTCATTTTAATATTGGAAATTTAGCAACATTAAAAATATATGATAAAATGCAGATGGAGTGAGGCAGCTACACTGAGCTTAGTTGCAAAGAAAGAAATCGTTCACGATTAAAAAATGCAAGTCGAAAAAATGGTGAGAAGTATAGGATGCGTCGCAAGTTTCTGCGTGGAGCTAAAAAGAGTAAGAGAAGTGAAAATAAAAATAATGAGGGTTTGTCATATAAAGCAGGAAGTTTTAAATGTTTATATCAAATTAGTTTTATCATACCTGTTTATATGAACATGGCATTTAACAGGGAAAAGTAAAAAATTTTTACCATTTTAGCTTTTTATTCATTCGCAAGTAGAAAAGGGTTATTAAATCTGACTTTTGATAAATAAAGTACATCTATTGTTTGAATATAGTCTACAGTGCAATACTTAATAGATAAAAAGGCTCCAGATAAATACAATTATTATTAACAATAGAGTTAACATAATTTTTTTTTTTAAACCTTTTTTTCTAAGATTTCCACATTTTCTTAACTTTGCCTGACTGTGGCAAAGATATTTCAAAAACGGTTTGATTAAAACTTCTCATATTTTGACAGATTGTTTATTATGTACAAGGTTGTGCAATAAACCTCAAAATTATAAGAATATATGTGTTAAAAATAAAATATAACGATTTTTCGGTCATTATGGGGGATAAAAATATCATTTTTTTTGTATCCTTTAAACAAATAAAGCACGACCCCAAGGAATAAGTAAGTTGTTAAGTTTTTGAGGTTCATTGCATACCTCTAACATCAAGCTAGTTAAATGCCAAATTTTATTCTGTGACCTTCTGCATTTTGAAATATTTTTGCCACAAAATGGTCAATTTTTAAGTTTTTGCCCCCTAAAAATTGCCCCACAGGGCAACCCCTTCTTTTTTTTTAATTTTTTTTTTTTTTTTTTAATCTTAGTTTTATTATGAATTTACTTAATAAATAAAAAAAATTATTTAAATATCAAAATTAAAGATTTTTTTATTTATGGGGTTGTGCCCCCTTAATGTAGTATATAGATGTTTTTATTGTAGAAGAGAATAGAGTTTTTTTAAGGGCTTCGTGATAAGGTCATAACGATCTTCTTGAAGTCCTGTCCGTATAATATTATAAATCTTAGTGTAAATAATATTATACGGTAAATAAAATAAAAATAATAAATAATAATAAATAAAAAAAAGAAATAGTTAAAACATTTTTAAATTGGATGACGTCATTAAACAATCAAATTACAGGGGGAGGGGAGTAATAATTTTCAAAATAAAATGTTTTGAATATTCTAGATATATTTTTTATAACTTTTATAATTTATAACTTTAAATTTATATTTCAATTTATATTTAAATTTTAAACGATATTCTTTTAGTCTTATATACTTTTGAAACGTTAAAATGTTTAAACGTTTAGAATTTTGAGTTAAATTCTTTAAATTTTTTTCAAACAAAAAAATTTGTCGTAAACATGGAAAACTGATTCACGGCTAAAACCTAGGCCTATTACTCGAGCGCAGCAATTTGAAAACTGGAGGTCGATTTAGTAAACATTTTATTATGGCTAATTTTTTATTTATCAAACCAGTTTAACAAATTTTTAATTTCTAACTTGCTAAATATAAATACTGAAGACAGAAATATTTTGCATTTATTAAGCAGGAAGCAATATAAAATATTTTGAAAAAACTTTATTTAAAAAACTAAAGTGTGTTTTATCAAAATCTTTTATATTACATCAAAAAACAAAACATTTTTGTATCTAAAGGTGATTTTCCACTCATCGGGAAAGGAAAAGGGAACGTAAAAATAATCACGTGAGCATGCGCAGTTTCCTTATGGACAAATAAAAACTTTTATTACGCATGCTCACGTGATTATTTTTCCCTTTCCCGTAGAAAAACGGATGAGTGGAAACTCACCTTTACGACTCAATTTGAGCTGGTTCCTTTTGAGCTGGCTCCTTTGAAGAACGTGGAGTATTTAGCTTTGAGTAATTATTAAAAAAAATATTTGACAAGATTTTATAACTTTTCATACTAGACATATCATTTTTTAAAAAATCCAAAAATAAACTTAAAACAAAATTTTATGAATCTATAAGAATTTGAAAATTTCCTTAAACTTACTTTTTGAAGAGGAATCACACAACTAAAAGATTTTAATATAATCACATTACTAAAAGATTTTAATATCTTATATAATTAAGATGATCCAAAAAGTTATCATTTGAATCTTCTGGACTCTATTGCTCTTTTTTTCGCCTGTCTGCATGGTATAACTTATATTTTTGTCTATATTTAAAAAATTAAAGGCTTATAATTTTTTTTTTTTTTTGCATTTTTATTTATTTACACTTTTGCCGATAAAAAAAAAAAATTTACAGTCGTAACTTATAAAAAAAAAATAATTACATGACCGGGGCTAGAAGAAGACAAATTTAGTCTTATCATTTTCGTGTCCAATCTAAAGTATGGTCTGTTTCCAGCGGCCACTAGGGGGAAAATTGAATTTTTTTTTATTTTTTCAATTTTAATAAGGTGCCCCAAGTCCTTACGTCTTATTGGATGTTCACGTCTCCTTCCTAACCGATGTCGCAAAACTTGCCAAAAAGTCGCGGATACCACGTTTCTGAGGCAAGAGCGCTTCGACTGCGCACGGCTGCTCCTTACAAGTTGTAAAAACAAAAATGCACAAATGAAAATAAACAATGAAATACATAAAAATAAATTTAAAATTCCACGTTTGGCGATGAGTTTTTAGCAATATTTTTTAATTCACTTAATTATCTTTAAATCGTATCAGTTAATCTGTTTATTTACTTTAATTCTATAACTTTAATTGTATGGCTAATTAACATGTTTAAATTAAAAACGCAATTTTTAAATTTTTAATTTTATATATGGTTGCAACGTAAAAACTAAATCTAATTGTAAAATAAAAATATAATCTTGTAAAGACAATTTTTCTTGATAAGTCTATATAAAAAAATTTATAAAAACTTCCTATCGAACGGAAATAAAACTAGAGACGCCAAACTTTTAAACTATTAAAACTGGCTTTACAATTTAGAAAAACTACGTTTTTCTAGATTGTAGATGGACAGGCGCAGCTTCAGCTAGATTG